TTTGCAGAAAGCAGAGGTTCTAAATAGAAGGGAATTTAAATACAAAGGATAGAGGAAGAGGGCCTCTCTAAACCAGTCTCTAAGGTGCCATCTTGCCCTGCCTTCAGCCAATGTTTATGTCACTTACTTCTGAGCATATTTCAGCTCTATAATACCTGTCACACAAATAGCATTTGGAGCCCACTGTAGCTTTCTGTTTATTTCATCAAGTATATGTGGGTTAAAATTAATCTCTCTGTTCCTGAACATCTATTTACAGTTCATTTAAAGGAATGCTGTCAAGGAAATGCAGACAAAATGGCTATTAAATAAGGAGAAATAACCACTGTTTTCTAAATATCCAACAAGGTCGAAAATAAATTAAAGGAAAAGGCATTAACTATTATTGTTTCAGGGCCTCCAGAAGAAAAGGCAGGGTCCTGTGTTGTATTGCTCCCTCTTCTGACAATGGGGCAGACAAAAATGAACAGAACAAAACCTAATTTCCAAGTAATATTTGCAGACAGTGATGCTTCCTAAGTGAACTAGGAGAGATATAGCAAGGTAACACTTTACAACAGTTGTCTTTGGTTCATTTCTATTCTACAGACATTAAGAGCACATTTATCTCTCATTTGTCTGACAATTAAAGAAACTGAAACTGGTGACACACTTATTCACTCTTCAGGCAGAATTTTCTATCTTGAAAGTCAGTAAGTAAATCTACATTCATAAGCAGGGAGCTTCAGAGAAAAGCAACAAATAAGACTTCTGGGGAGAGTGGAGGAACAAAACAAAAATTGTCTTTATGAAAACATTTTAGCTTCCGAAAGCAAATATTGCCATTAACCTTACAATATTAGTATGATTCTTGAGCACCACCCTGCTAACACTTACTTTTGGAAAACTAACTCTTAATATGGACGATGGCATTCAAGTCTATATAAATCTCTTAGAAATAACACTAATGCTATTTCTTCAAAAATAAATAGGTTAAGTTTGCATGCTTCAACGTGGAAAAGTCACGTGATACAGCAGTACCTAGCAACCTTTCACAATGTGTAGGGACATTAAAGATGAATGAGGGTATATTTGATTAAATCTACAGGACAATATATTTAGGCTATGTAATCTACGTGGAATTGTATCCTTTTGTGGATCATGGAATGTAGTAAAGTATACTCCACTTGGGCTAATGGAGACAAGGACACATTGGCATCACTTTGTTGTCATATTTCTGTAACTGCAGAGTGTGTTCAAATCCCACAAAGGGCCTGGCTCAGCTTCTTGAGTTCTGCTCATAACCCAATTTAAAAAACTCTAAATAACTACACACAACCAACACTTCAGAGCTGTATTTAAAAAAAAATACATATTAGATTTATACCATATTAAATTTATACATAGTTACTGTGGAGAAGAAAAAAAAACCTTTACATCATTTACTGCAGCTATCCAAAAATAAGAAGTCAGAAATATGTTATTCTTACATGACATACACTTCAATGTTTCTTCTCATCAGCCTCCTCATTAGTTGGCTAGGCTTGACTATGTTGTAGTTCCAACCCTCTTTTTATCTCACTACACATACTGCCCTGTTCAGAAAGCACACACTGGTTCCTGGAACTGAAAAACAGCTGACAAAGGCTTGGAGTAATAACGAACTCTAGACATCCTGAAAGTCAATCAGGACTTAAATTCAATTTCTAAAGAAAACAGAGACATGGGAAAACGCTAAAAGCTGTACAGTTAATTCTTTCTTACTAGACCTAATAATACTAGGATACCCAGAGAGAAACAGCAGCTTGATGGCTCAGCAAAGTATTAAAATCAACGAATATCAAGTCTAAGACATGACTTATATGGCACCTAGCCCTAATAAATACCTTATATTTTTTATCTACACTATATACACCTTGGCATTATTTTTCATGACTAATTGATCCCTTGTGGATAAGGAGGGAACAGGTTCATTAATTTTCTTGGCATGATCACTGAAAGGCAAGCTTCAAATACACAGGCTGTGAATACCAATATCAAGTGGCTGGTCCAAAGTCCATTGAGGTCCATGGAAAAATACATACAGAGTGACATACAAAGCTGCACATTAAGAAATTAAACATTTTAGTGTACCTCAAACACGTTTTAATTAAGCATTCCTTCTGAGATCTAATCTAGACTTCATGTATTTTTTTATTTCCTTTTCCAATTCTCCTATTGAAGTTAGTGCTAATTATTTCTGAAGAACTTCCCACAGCTATAAAGAGAAGATCCTATTTCATGTTCATGTGTCAATTTTCTGTGCACTTGTCTAACTTCACTGCAGTTTATAGTGGATTACCTAAATATACAGAACTTAACCTCAATACTAATATTGTGCTGTTACTGGTGCAGAAATAGGACAATATTTTGTCCTGTTTTATCTCAAAAAGAATATTAGCATCCCTGATCTATAACGGTCTCTTCTTCAAGTACTTTTCTCTCATCCCCTTCCTTCTCCTGTGCCTAGCTCCCTGTAATCTGAAACCTGAGGAAGAATGTACTGCATTCAAACGCTTGTCTAACTTTATGCCAAAGACATAGTTGGTCCAATAAAAGATACCACCTAAAGAAATCCTTGCCTCTCACATCATTTCTGAACCATACCAGCTACAACATCATTCTTACTTTAAGTAAAGGTCACTTTCAACTCAAGTATAATGCCTTAAATAACTGCAGATGAAGAGTTCCTGGTACTTCTGCAATGTTTGTATATGCAGATGTCTTTTTCTTCTCCAATGAAGGATAGTGTGGTTTCTAGGTATGCCAAAGCACCAGGCTGATGCTTTTAAAGACTCCTATGAGCAGCAGTCTGAGAGCATTTAAATGGTGCATTCACCAAGAATGAGGTGCTCATGAGCAGGCATCCAGGTTTTCTGTTTCCCATGGAAAAATGGAGAAAACCACAGATTTTACCCTTTAGCAGAAGAAAATGTGGATTTCTCATTTTACAGGATTTTGCAATTTGGCAAAGAGCTCCAGACAGCAGGGGCCTGGGAGGGAGCGGAAGGAGGGTGGTTAGGAAGAGTGTGCCATGTGAATCTACATGTACATGGCCACCAGGCAGCCTGGAGAGCAGCTCCCACAGGTAAGTGGTGGGGGGCAGAGATAGGGAGAGAGGGAGTTGGGCAGGGCTGGGGCTGGCGCTGCTGCCCAGCCAGGCAGTGCATGGGGTTTGGGGCTGAGGTCACAATGCACAGATGCAGGGCCCCAGTGGGAAGAAGGACAGAGCTCTGGGTGGATCATCTGGGGGTATGGGGGAGGGGCCAGCTGCGTGCACTCCCAGAGGGAAGGGGGGATCCAGGCCCTCAGATTTGGTGCAAGGCAGGGGTGGGTACGGGCTGCCCATGGCGAGCTCAGACTCCTGCCCTGCTGCCCTCCCCCAGGTCCTCCACAGCCCAGTGGGTGTGACCCAGCATTGCAGGGAACAGCAGGGCTGCACGGGGATTTCCTTGCCGCTGCAAGCTCCATGCTGCCCTGGCAATGTGACTCTTATCTGTGCAACAGCAGTGGGTGCACAGGGGACACATCACCAGGGCAGCACAGAGCTCACAGTGGCAAGGAGATCCCTGCATGGCCCCTCTGTGCCCTGCAGCACCAGGTTGCACCTGCTGGGCTGCAAAGGCCCCAGGGGAGGCAGCAAGACAGGAGCCTAAGCCTGCAATGAGAAGGCCATGCCCACCTCCCACAAATCTGGGGGGCCTGGGTCCTTCCTGCCCCCTGGGAGTATGTGCAGCAGCAGGGAGCTGCCCCCCCCCGCCCCACCTGAGCCTGCAGTAGGCAGGCAGGGGTTGGGCTGTACTCCGTTCCATTGCAGCAGCCACTGCCTCCTGCCGGGGGCAGAGGGCTGTGGACCCTGGCAGCTGGGGGCCTCCTCTGGCAGGGCTAGGGTTGGTAGGGGGCTGTGGGCGAGTGTGAGAGGCACCAGCAGGGCTCTGGGTGGGGAGCGAGGGGCACAAGCAGGGCTAGGGATGTTGTGGTGGGGAGTGCAGGGCCTTTCACTTTAATCACGGAATTTGGGGGTTTTATCAGAGAATTCATGATTTATTTTTTTATTTTTTTTATCAGGGCAAACCAGGCTCCCTGCTCATGACTGTTCCTTGTTTTCTCTAAGAGGAAATGTTGCTGGAAGTATTCCAATTGTAGAGATCTTGTGAAAGAAATGTCTTCCTAGTCACTCTCTACTCCTGTGTAGGAAGAAAGGAATAGCTGTCCTTGCCCAATAGCCTTCTTCAGGGACTACAAGTGGAGCAAAACCAATCCAGAGCAATAGCCAGTACTTTCAACATGAGCTTTCAATTTAGATTAGCTTCTACTTTTGGGGGCAAGATAGGGGAAATGACCAAGCAAATAAGCCCAAGTTTTCTAGCCTCAACAGGCTAAATTTTTAAACCCTTGGCAGCAATGGCTTGCACTTATAGTTTTGCAAATGCAAAGGACAGAATTTATACAACTAATTACCTGCTTACTTGAACAAAGTGTGCAGCAGACTTTCCATTTAACCAAATCCCAGAGATAAGGGCTGATCAACAGCAATATCTACCTATTTCAAGACCACGCTAACAATCAAACTCCCAGGAAGAATAATATTGTTCTGCTCCATTTTGCTGTAGTCTGATGCAAGGTTATAACTGAAGCTTTTTCAAATCATTATAAAACACCGAGGAAGTAGTCAATAGGACAATAGGAAAAAGTTAAAGAGGGGAGAGAACATTTAAACACTTTAGCTCCTCCAGGCAGTGACAAATGGCCATTCTTTTTTTTTAAAGTTCCTGGTAGTACATTGTGCATAGAAAATGTTCAACTGCTTTAAAATAACCCATCTTCAAAAATACACACACATAAAAAAACCCTTGCAATTAACTGGGAAACCATTATAAACACCTAAACTTTGGAAGTCTGAATGCATATTATAGTTAAGTCAGAGCAGATCTGCCAGTGACACTGAGTGAAGCAAAACACAGCTTTTGCATTTACTATACCTCTCAGGATGTAGTTTTGGTAGTTCTGGTCAGCCTCAGCTCCCACTTTTATCA